TATCATCTTATTAATGGTGCTTCCTCTAATTTAGACAAGAAAATTTAAGCTGTTAAAAAAAGAATATGAAATTTGCAGAAGAACACCGACGACATCCAACGAAAACTACAACAACTCAAGCACCAGAAACGTTAACTCCTGTCACCAGAAGGACAGATAAAGATTGGTGGACAACACCAAAAGTGGTAACAGTACCGCTGGACAACAGATGGAAATGGACAGTAACTACCACAGCAAGAACTACTGCTCCGTTGACAATGGCAACAACCATGATGCTGTCAACAACAACAGCTGCTTCAGAGGAAGTTCAGCGACCATCAAGGCCGACATTTAGTTGGCGTCCTAGATATCAAGAGCCGGAAAAACCGGAAGAAGAAGATGAGAATGACGACGACGGACGGCGAGAGTTGTCTAGTACAGAATCAGATAGTAAAATTGAAGATACTGGTGTATCGACATCTGAGGTATGCGACGAAATAACGGAGGGTTGTCGTAAAAATAAAACAAAATTTGCTCCTCATAATAAATTTTCTATTTTTATCACTTTAATAAATATAATAACTGTTTTTTGGATTTCTTGCCAACTTAGCTGAAAAGATACTTTGTTAGTTGATTTATTCAATTTTTGAATAGTTTTTCTTATTGTCTTATCTTATTTTCTTCTTGTTTAGCATTTTTTTTCTCTACACTTTTTTTACTTTTAACTTTATTTTACTTTTGATTTGTTATTTGATATTTTTTGATGTCAAGTAAACATTGTTTAATGGAGATTAGCCAGTGGATTAAAGTCTTTCTAAGCAGAAAAATTTCTCAGACAAGCGGAGTTTTGTTTTTTTTTTTCTCTCTCTCTCTCTCTCTCTCTCTTTCCACTCCTTTCTTCGTCTTTGTTTCCAATATGCATTTATAGATTTACTAAGCTGTTATCTGTGTATATCAAATAACACATCTGCAGTTGTGTGTTGGTATATATGTGTGTGTTTGTGCATTTTTTTTCTTTTTGTTTTTGTTTTTATTTTTATTTCATTTTTTTTTCTAATTTTTTATAAATGCTTCAAGCTTGAGTTAGTTTTTTTTTTTTCTTTTTGAAGAATAACAACAATAAGAGCAGCAGCAAAAAAAAAATATTTTTTTTCTTCAGCTTAAATTTTTGTGAAGAATTTTTATCTGCATTTAAATGCCACTTAGAAAGTAACATTTCATGCATAACACAAAATTTAATCAGTCTTCTTTCTTTTTTCTCTCTTTTTCTTTCCTCCTCTTCCTCTCTCACTTCGTCTACCCCTTTCTATAAAAGTGATTTATTTGGTTTGTTATAATGCTGTGATTTTCGATATGGTATTATAGCATTTCATATGCGTAAATGTAAAGAAGCAGATGAAACGAGAAAGGAAGGGAGAGGGAACTTGGTAGACAAAATGTGAGAGCATCAAAAGAAAGGTAGACATTTTTTACACAGGTATAATGATTTCCTTTTATTGTGTTGTAAAAATTAAGTTTCTCGGTGATTTGTTTAAATAGCTAACAAAAACTTAATGAAAACTAAGCTGTACGAAAGTTATTGTAATTGTTGTGACTCAGTAATTCAGTGAAGTATCAAATATGTCGACTGAAAAACATTATATGAGACTAGAATGTTCACTCATTTAATCAATAATTATCATATTATTATTCGTTGATTTATTATACTGTTGATTCTTTTGTCTAATAAACTGTAATTTGTTTTCAACGCTTACAGCACGTTAAAACTAATAATGATTAAAAAAAATTTTAATTGAAAAAGTTGAAAAAGCAATTGAAAAAGTTTTTTGTTTTAATGATAAGCCGTGTTTGGTAAGGTAATTCGAACATTTGATCAAAAATTGACAAATTGTACTACACAGCGTTGTTGTCATATATGGTGAACTCAATCCTTTGTGATGTGTTGAAAGCATTTAAAACTCGACAATTAAAATAAGCTATAAACAGTGACATTTGCTTTCCAACTATCGAAAAGCACAATTAATCTGCTGAATTAACAACTTGTAAGCTACGCTGTCATAGCCAAAGCCAACTTGTATAGAATTCTTAGTCACTTGTGACAACTGTCTTGTTTTTTCTTTTAGCATCTGCATTTTAGAATATTATTTAACAGTTGCAGATGTAAACATATGATTATAATGTAGCCATTATTGATACAACACTGCTGAATATATATATTTTTTTTTTT